TGAATTAAATGGATGTCAATTTAAAAACCGGGTCAACACTAGTCGAACGTCGGCGGCGCCATGGCGCCGAGGTGCATGCCATGCGCTTCGTGGCAGACCACCGCGAGGCCGAGGAACGCGAGGAGCTGCATGTCGGCGTGTGGTCGACGGCTCGAAAATGGCAAGTGAAATGATTTGCGGGCGACCGTCCGTGACGAAAAGGGGTGCACCCCATCTGTAACACAGGTTGAATTTGTTAGAATAGAGCATGAATTCAGCAGCACCCAGCATTAACGTGTCGTAATCTGTTCTAACAACGTTCTAGCATGCGGTTACAATGGCCGACGCACCCTTTTCTGGCACAGCTCTGGTTGCCATGACAATCCCCACACCCGCCGTGGCAAGCCCGCCTCTCCCAGTCGTCCTGGTGGTACCGTACGAGCTCCGTCGTCGCCACGAGCTACGGTGACGACGACGGTGACGACGACGGTGGCACAATACGACTGCACGTAAGGTTATAAACCTCCTCATACACAACTTGTCTAGAGTTGGTTTCACTAGACCGGTATTTCCGGACATTGCCGGCGGGCGCAGCTTTGCTGCCGCCAACATGCGTCGAGGCTACCTTCCGAAGGATTACTAGTATGACCATATCCTATAATATGGATGATGACCCTTCCCTAGCTTTCATTCGAGCTACGACTGAGATGCAGTCGCAACAAGCATGCCCAGCAACGGACAAGGCAGGTGGCATCTACTTGGACTGGTCGTTTCTTGGAAACTGCGCCCGAAACGCCAGGCGCCTTTTTAGCCATCAAGCATGATCGCCAGCCGCGCCGTGCCCGTGCTGCTCGTCGCCGTCGCGTGTGGAAGCGTGCCGTACCGCCAGTGCGTCTATGGCGCCGCACCCTCCGTGGCGCCCAAGCGACAGAGCTTGCGGTTTCTGCACCAACTCTGCGGCCTGCACTGCCTCTTGCTGCCGCTCCTTGTGCTCGCAAGCGACGTCTTGCCTTGCTGGATGGGCTACGTCACGCAGTTTTTACTACCGGCCATCACAAGGTTCGCTCTTGCCTCCAAGAAAAGGCGGTGGTCGACTTAGGTGCTCTTCTAGCGCTCTCTTCCTTGTCGCCCATACATCCATCCTCCTCTTGCGGTCGTTCACCAAGGCGCTACTCGTGTACAAGGACCCGCCAGAGTCGTCGATGCCGACGCGAACGCTACGGTACCTGCAGCGCGCCGTCGCACCGCCCGTGTGTCCGACAGTCGCGAGCGCTCTAGTGCTCGCCTCGCTGGCACCGTACGTTGCCGTCCAAGCATCCGTGCTCTCTCTACACGTCGAGGCATGTCAAACAACTGACGCTTTTCAGGTAGAGTGCTCTCTGCTACCACCTCCTCCATCGTTGTCGACATAGACGCTTCGGGCAATACAAGTCGGCCATGCCACAATATGGGGCCTCTTGGCCAGTGCGCTCGCCCGGTACCACCGCCGACAGCGCGCTGTCACGTTGCTCGGCCTCGTTGGCACCTACCTCTGTCTCGTGCTGTCGTTGGTGATGCCGTCACTGGTCGCATACCACATCGGTGACGCCGGTATTTTGTTGTTGCACTTTCTCACATTGCACTTTGGCCTCCCAACGGCCTCACCCAGTAGGCACCTCTACGATCTGAAATAAGATATGAGGTGTGGCGTAGGCCAGCGTCATGCATCGCCCAAGGTGCGAACGTTCCAATTGCGGTCGCACTCGATCGTCGACGACCCGTTTGCGACCGTGCAGCTCGAAGACCTCCAGAGCTTCTTACTTGACGCCGTGCACTTCGACCAGTTTCTCGCCCACGCAGTGGAGATGCAGCGGGTGACCGAGCTCCTCACGTGGCAGCTCGTACAGCACTACAAGGCCAAGCGCGTCTCGATCAAGGTCGTCTACAACCTCTGCTTGGCACCACGCGCAGTCCTTGGGTCGAACGCGGCGTCTGCGCTCGGTCCCCGCATCGCCGCTTTTGTCAACAAGCCACGTTCCGACATTATCGATCGGCTTCTCGATACGCTT